TGTGTCCTGTGCTGTTGTAGCAATTATTGTGGGCGGGCAGTGAGTGGGGAGATTAAAGTGGGGAAGAGGTGGTTGTTAGGGTTTTAGTTTTTATTTCTTTCTGTTCTGGGAGTGTTAAATTCTAGTTTTCAGAAGGTGGCATCTTCCAAATTACTAAACAATAGTTGCAATGCTGTAATGATTTAAGGTATGGTGTGAACACTACTAATAGTTAAGGTGCTTTGAAATAAATGCAGTTAAACATCAAAAAGATTACTGATTTCAAAGTGTAGGTAACTGCGACACTTGATGTATGAATTCAATCTGAAGGAAGAGGTTTTTCAGTTTATCCTTGTTTTCAACACAGCGCATGGTAGACCTGTAAACTACAGTTAAATCTACTGTTAATATAGCACTGGAACTGTCATGAATGTACAGTTCCTGTGAGCAAAAAAGAGATACTACTTATGCTTTTGATACTTGTCTCGCTGCTAATTTAAAAGCTTTTCCTGTAGCAGTTCTGTACCATTTCTTTCAAATACTGCCAACTATTTCTTATTGACATATCAGTGTAAAACTACTCAAAACTTCTATGTTCAAGTCACTTTTAAGTTTCCATTGGACAAATAACTGTATGCAATATTGATACAGTTTTACATACTGTTGGTATGAAATGTTCAGAGCAGTATTTATGCTTGGATTTCTCTTCCAAAAGCAAAGTAAATTGTTTTAATATAAATAAGCCTATTTTTTCCCTGCTTATAAGCCAGAGGCATTCTTTGTTTAGTGACTTACTGATGTTTAATAAGTTAATTATTTCACTTGCAAGCAAATACTTCTGCTGCAGCTAGTCATGCCATATAACCTTTGTCAGTGGCTCATCTTATGTTTGTCTCTGATTCTGAGCTTGCTGCTGTTAAAAAGCAGTAAGAAAAGTCCAGTTTGCTTTGCAAAGAACATGTTCAAGGCCTTAAGGTACTCTGTCTTTCAGTATGATGATAAACTATTACTTTCACTGTAGGCTGAGGGAAAATGCTATTTTTCAGGAGATACACAATGTGCTCTGTTTTTTCTTTCATAATTCTTTAGTTCTGGCACACAAACTTGGTCACAGGGTGAGCGTTTTTATCTGACATTAAATATGTTGTGAATAAGCTTAGTTTTAATGAGTAATTTTCACTAACTTTCAGATGATGTCTGTATTCTGCCTTGTATATGTAAGTTCTCAGCTGTTCAAGGTATGCTCTTGCTGACCTCTTGAGCTGTTAATGTACACTTGAGTGGGCTGACTTCCTTGGGTATGCTGAAGATTGATACATCCCAGGCCTTGACAGCTGTAGTATTTTTCTGTGCCAACTTCAGACAGTCTAAGCAGCCCTTTTTTGGGAAAAACTGTTTGGCTCCCAAGACCATTCAAGGAACAGCCTTACCAAGTCCGTTACTTGTGCCAAGAGCTTAAAAAGGCTGTTAAGACTTCTTTCCCTCTTAAAACTGTAACAATTTTTGTCTAATACTAATGCTGTTATACAAAATGCTTAATTACTTATAGATTTAAATGAAACAGTTTTAGTTATTAAAATGTTTGACATGTTAAAGAGAAGGAAGTCACATTTTATGGTAACTTAGCATTCACTGACTGTTTTACTAGTGTTTTATTGTGATAATGAGAAGTTTTGTACATTTCCATGTAAAATTTCTTTTTAATGTAATACAGCTCACAGATTTTGAACTGCAGATAACATTTTTTTTTTCATAGATTGGAGGAGTAACTTTCAATACCAGTTCCTGCCATCATCAAAAATAAACAGTATTTATTGAAATGGCACTGTTTTGCAGTGCAGGAAATTCCAGTAATTTTTCACTTATTTCCAGACAATTTGGGAATGTTTTTGGTTGTTTTTTTTGTTTGTTTTTCTTTTTTTTTAAAATGGACACTATTTAGCCTGTTCTGTTTAGCTGGGTTTTTAAAGTTTATTTTGTGCACGCTGTTTGCAGTGTGCAAGAAATATTCCTTACTACAAGCAAACTTCTTTAAGTTAGGATGGCTTTTTCATCTACTGTTCTTTCAGCACAGACAGAAATGTTGCAGGACTTAGTAAGGAGTGCCAGTTTCACTGACATGAGTACAACTTGGAGTTGATTTTATTCTTCCTTGGACAGCTTTGAAATAGTTACTGAGCTTGGAGATGAATATGAACTGCTTTTTCAATTAAAAGAGATCATTTGCACCCAAGTTTATTAATTCTGTTATATTAGTTTATTAAATATAGTGGTTTATTCCTCCATTAGCCTTTAAAGATTTCCTTATACTTTAAGTGGTGTAATTTAGAGTGTAAAAACTACTGTCCTTTTGAATGATTGAAAATAAATAATATTTCCATTGTTATTATTTAGTGAGTTTTTGTTTGGCTGTGTGATTTTTCTTTGCTAAGCTTCCAGCATAAATACAAGATATTTTTGGATGTTATAATTACTCAGTATTCTGTGGAGATCCTAATGCTTTCTGGAGGCCTGTGGCAGTGTATCCAAAACTGAAAAACATTATTTTTCATTCTCTCTTTGCCTGAGAAGAAGCAGTAGGTCATGTGTGGTTCACAATGTACATACATTGTGACTTTTCAGCTGATATGGAAGGCATTTACACGAGATGGTGACTTTTTTGAGGATGCATGAAAAAAAGGCTTTAGGACTAGATACATAGAAAAATCCAGGATATTCAGTGGCATAAGGTGGTAGCACACAATGAGCAATTGTACTTTTTTTTTAAAAGATGTTGATAGCCATCTTTTTGACCTGAACTGAGTAACCTAATTAATATGGTGCTTACAGTTTGTCTTTTAACTTAAATCCTATCTGAAAGTGAACTTATTTTTAGCACTTCTACTGAATAAAGACTTAAATACTGTTGTGAAGTCACTTAAGTTTTTATCTGTATGCCATATGGCTTAGTTTTGATGTTCTTGTTCTTCAAAAAAATGTATATAGTCATGCACCATAGTGCACCATAATCCAGTTAGTTACTATCTGCTTGCACAAAGCAGGATTGCTTTTGGTTTTGAAAAGGGTCCTTACAGTGCTGACTCAATTTGTCTGGGGAAAGATGAACTTCTTTTCAAGGGTTTTTAAAGCACAGTCTGTGCCTTATTTTTTTCTACACAAAGTTTTTTGTTAACTGTTTGGTTTTGTTTGGAAATACCAGAAATGAAGTCTCCCTGTCAACACTTTTAAAGTTGTGTACATCCTACAGAGTCAGTTAGATTAAATTTGTTTGGTTTTATGAAAGATGAACTACAGCTGTAGTCCAGCTAATAATAATCTTTAAGTGTAAGATCTCTGTGGCTAGAGCCTTTGTTTTATTTGCTTTCTAGCATGATCAGAAAGCCATTTAGATTTGTCAGTAGCATGCATTCTTATAGTATGTAGTTGACTTTTTCTGGATTTATAGCAATACCTCGATAAGGCATCACATCTCTGTAAAGTTTTCTTCCTTGGTTAGTTGAAGTTGATGGCATTTAAAGATTTAAATAAATGTAAACTACAAATTGCAATAATAGTTGAAAGAGGAAGATATCTTGTAAACCAGCAATCATAAAACCACTTACTTTTCACTTGCTAAGTATTCTTATGTTTTCTCAGATGTTCAGCATTGCCACACTTCTCTATGCAATTTTAAAATTAAGAAAGATTTCAATTTCTAAATTTGAATAAGAGACACGTCAGAACGTTTAAAAAACTATTTGAGGCTTACCTTAAAAATCATAGAGAAAATAAGTGCAACAGTCTTTCCTATTTCTTCTCTTATAATAGTTTGATAAATCCATAATTCAGTGTATCTGGCTGTTGCAGTATTAATCTTGATAAAATAACTTAAACTCAGTACACTGATAAATGTTGATAAAAGTCTGCTGGCTTTAGAGAGCTCTTTTAATTTCATATTGAATATAGTTGTCTCGTTTTGAAGAAAGAGAAACATTAAGATGGAGTGATTGTCATGTGCTGGAACTGATATTACTTGTAAAGTTCAAGTCTGCTTCCTAGAAGGCAAAACTGGGAGCAAATGAAAAGAAATAATAGCAAGAATAGAAAATACAATTTCTGCTTCTAAGGCTTACTCTAATCATACAGTGTGTGGTCTTTATTGACTCTTGTGAAGCCTGTAAAACTTGTAGTTCTGTTGAGCTGTTTTGTGTATTAGATGACCATTGCTTTTAGCTGTTTCAAGTCAAGAGCTCATAGTACTGTGACCTAGTACTGTACGATCTGTTCTTATTCATAAAAAATTAAAAATTCAGTGGGAAATCTATGAGAAACCAAGCAGTGGAGGTGAAGATAGGAACTTGGATCTTTTGCTTTATTTGATGATCAGGCTTAAGATAGAGTTGTGCAGAGATGAGATACTGTGGTGTTTGTTTACCTGATGTTAATGGTTAACTAATGATACCTGTGGTATCTTAGATTAGATTCCAGAAGCTTGGGAGAAGAAGGAGCTGGAGAAATGGATAGCTGTAGTAGTGTTGCTTTTCCTTTTCGGTCATTTATTGTCCTCATGCAAATTCTATTTCTCTTCAACATTCAAAAACTAGTAAAAGGTAGACTAAGCTGCACTCCTATGATTTTTACCTGCAGAATAGACCTGGCTTCCAATGTGATCTTATTGGCTTACTAATTTCTAATTTAATGTTAGGCTGGTTTTAACAGATCTTCTGTTTGTCTAGTCCATGTTTTATGTACATATGCTTTCCTGTTGTTCTTCTTGTCTTCATCTTTTGATGACTTTTTTTTTCCCCTAACATTTTTATGTAATTGGCACAGTATGGTTTTAGTTTATAACATAACTACATCAATATTGATGCTTCCAGTAATTAAACCATATTGAAATAAAAATGCAACACTGCAAAATAACAAGTTATATACAGTAGAAAATACACATTTGGGAAAGTACATACATGCATAGTATAACATTTTCATAAGGCTTAGAATACATTTAATATATATATTTTTTTTTTTCCTCTGTTTCTAAGGCTGATAAAGAATTTGTGTGGTCCCTGTGGAAACGTCTCCAGGTGTCAAACTCAGATCTTACTCAAGCTGTCAGCTTGGTTGTAGAAAGGTGAGTTTAAAAATTTAACATGATACTAGAAAAAGCAACAAACAAAACCCCCTCTACTGATACCATATTCTTTATCTTTTTCATTGACAACTATGTAGGATTTTTAAAATGTGTTACAAAAATTTCAGTGTTAAATCTTGTCAAGATTACCTAGAATGTGTTGCAAGTTTCCTTTTTTGTATCAGTTGGAGCATACTTCAAAATCTGTTTTCACTGTGGTTGCTCTGTTGCGGTTTAATTCAATTTTTAAATTACAAATGTACTGTATATTCCGTTTTTCTATTGAAAGAACGGGAGGAGGTAAATGACATTTTCAGGTATCATAAGTGATTGGATAACAGTTGCAGATAAACGTAATTTATGTATGTATTCTTAAAGAAGTGAAAGGCTAAGACATGGTAGCAGAACAGATGACCATGCAGTTTAGCTATTACTTCTCTGAGGTTATTAATGATGATTATTTCTGTATGGTACTTGCATGTTATCATCTGATTGCTGTAAATGTTAGGTAATCATCACAGTATGTAATGATTGACCATTTTAGAACGCTAATATTTACAAATTCAGATTTTTTGTAAGCCAAAGATAAGGAGAATTTGAATAAGTTGGTAGTCTGACAGAATTCAAATGCTTGATTTTCTTAGAAAGGATTTGTCTGTCTGGTTTCCCAGGGTGCCATGAGTTCCCTCTTTTAAAATGGAAAAGTGGATTTTTTGAAAATAAAAAATGGGTTTTAATTTCTTCAAATGGCTTCCCAGTGTTACTTGGGAATCTTACCATTGAACCAGGAGGGGTCCTAGCTAGCTCTTTTGGGTTCCTGTTCAGTGCTTTGATCTTGAAAGGCCTGGTTTTTTTGTTCACGTCTTTCTTTTCTGATCTTGATCAATAAATGTTCTTCCACTTTTGAAAATAAAGTGTTAAGTTCTTTAGATTGGAATGCATTCACTATAGCATTGTCCCATATTCTGCATTGCATAAAGCGCTGAAAACTTTGCTGAAAAGTGCAGTATGATCATGTAGCTAAAACTAATATTCTAAAGCATCCATACCAGGGGAAGAAATTGATGATGTAAGCACAGGCAGCTTGTTTTAAGACAGCTGATACCTGAGAATTCACATGTGGTCACCAGCAATGATGTCAAGTAACTTCTGGCTCTGTGCTGCGACACTTACCTGCAGAGAGTAGTAGCTTGGCTATTAGGTCAGTGTACTACTATTACATTGCTAGTATGCTTTGATTTGGGAAGTAATTTTAATATATGAGGAAGACTTAGGAATAGATTTACAGCATTTTACAGCATCATGCATTTATGTTGAAATGCAGATTCTGACTGACTTGTTTCATGATTTGGTCGTATTTGCATGAGGACAGTGGTGATAGTATCAGTCTTCTTCCTTTGAAAAACATAAAGATGCAAGAACTGCTTAAAATGTATAAAGATAGTATTTAATGTATGCAAAAATATTACATGTACATAAGCACAAGTATATTGAAAACATTAAAAAATTGTTTTGGCTTAACCATATATTATAGATAGCTGAACAATATGGTAAATTTGAGCTCTTCTACATGAAACTTAATCAGGTAGAAACAAGTGTTCAGGCTTGTTAATATTTTTTAATTTGTGTTGCATATATAAAGAAATCAGGCTATTAAGACAAATTGAAGCATAGAAATGTTAAAAAGCATGCCTTTAAGTAATGGTGAATACAATGAATTATTTCGAGGTGTTGAATTGTATGCCTTTATGAGATAGTCAGTCTTTGTCCTTTTCCATGTCTAGGAATTTTGTTATACTTGGTAGTTAATCTTTTGCTTTAAATGATTTTATATTTTATTTAGAACAGAAGTTGGTAATTGTGTGTACATTATGCTGATTGATACAATGAAATAGGGCTCTAAAATACCACCTTGATGTCCACAAACATGATCAGCTGAATTTTTTACAATGGTAGGAAATGTTTTTAAAAGGGGTAGGAAACCCTTTTAATGTAGTGTTCAGCCTATCAGAAGACTTTCTACAGAAATCTGCTGTATAATAAGTCTATTATATACGAAGGTAAAGATACATTCTGTGTATCCACTTTGCACGTTGTGTAGAGGCTGGTGATTGATCCTCTTGTGTGAAAGCACAACAACATATTCTGTTAAGGTGCTTGGGTTTTTTTTTATGTCCTCTCTTCTTTCAGGAGAGCACTAATGCTTTAGAACACTTCTCATGGACTCAAGGCTATATACATCTATATCATACCTTTCCCATACTTCTCAAAGTTACGGAATTAAGAAAGAAGAATTTGCTTACACAGCATCTTTTTAGGTGTTATCATTACCGCAGAGAATCCTGGAATAGGTTTGAATAAGACCCACTCAGTATATAGTAGTTTTGTTAATCACAACTTTGAATTTTGGAGTTGCTTTAATTTGACAGATGGAGCAATAGTGTGTATTTTTCTATTTAATTGAAGTGGCTTCATCTATTTTGCCTGAGAATGGTCTAATTGCTGATTTGGATTTCTAGCCCAGCTTCACCTGTGAATCTTCTGCACAACCAAATTATAGTCCTGTGTGTTCTCTACTAACTTTTCCAGCTATAACTTTCCATAATCTTTTCCTAAGTAGCTTTTGTTTTCATGACTGTACCTCTTCACACTCGCATACTTTCAGAAAAGTTTTTATCTTCACAGAATCACACCGAATATCAGAAGTTGGAAGGGACCTCGAAAGATCCTCCAGTACAACCCCCCTGCCAGAGCAGGATCACCTAGACTAGGTTGCACAGGAACATGTCCAGGCGAGTTTTGAATGTCTCCAGAGAAGGAGACTCCACAACATCTCTGGGCAGCCTGGTCCAGTGCTCTGTCACCCTCACAGTAACAAAGTTTTTCCTCATGTTCTGGTTGAACCTCCTATGCTCCAGGTTGCACCCATTGTCCCTTGTCCTGTCATTGGACATCAGAGAGAAAAGCCTGGCTCCTTCCTCCTGACATTCACCCTTTACAAATTTATAAACATTAATGAGGTCTCCCCTCAGTCTCCTCTTCTCCAAGCTAAAGAGACCCAGCTCCCTCAGCCGCTCCTCAGAAGGGAGATGCTCCACTCCCTCAATCGTCTTTGTGGCTCTGTGCTGGACTCTTTCAAGCAATTCCCTGTCCTTCTTGAACTGAGGGGCCCAGAATTGGACACAATATTCCAGATGGGGTCTCAGCAGGGCAGAGTAGAGGGGAAGGAAACGTGTCTTATTACCTTCTTTATAGCAGCAAATCAGTTTCTCTGTTCCAATATCGTTATTAGATTTCCAGGGAATCTGCTATATAGTGCGACTGTTACCCAGAAAATTACAGGACAAGTTATTTTCTGACTTTGTTAATCTAGGAAAAATACCTGTATTTAAAGGGTAAAGAGATGGGATTACCAAGAAACAGTTATAAGCAAAGTAATTCCTGAAGCACATCACTCAGCAGATCTGTGGTGCTCACAGCCTGTTTTGCTATATTGTATGTGGCTATAAAATGGTTGTATCTGACAAGAGCTGGACATTGAAAACTTACACTGAAATTTGATAAAAGCCATCTTGAGTATTTTTAGAGACTTTTTACCCTTATCTGTAGTAGGGACAACATTGACACAGATGTAGCCAAGTTGATAACGTTTTCTATCTTGCCCTGGCTTACTAGGAGATTTTGAGATCAATAGATACAAACATAATGAAGTTGATTAAAACCTTCTGTTGTTTCTGCTTGTGACATGGATACCACCAATGTTTGCATAACTTAATTTTTCGGTGTTCTTTCCACCAAAAATTCCGTAACCGAAAAATGTTCAGTGTTCACCAAATCTTTGTTATAAACTACCTCAGATCAGAAGCCAGCTACCTAATGGAAGCAGGCAGAATCTAAGAAAGTGCGGTCATGTGTATTCTGGATAATTTATACATATATATAATGAACCAAACAATATTGTCTAGTGGATTTCAGTCCTTCAACTGACAAAAACAAGAGGTTACAGTGACAGGAATAAAAAGATGCAGGTGTGAAAGGACAAAATGTTCACTTACAACTATGGACACCACAGATGTGTTATGGAAAAAACCAAACTATGTATTAGAAGAAATTGAGTGGGCATTACTAGCCATACAGTCAGGTAATTTATATTTGTGGCATTAATTTTATTTGTAGCATTAAACAATTCCCTATAGTATCTTTTTCTCAAACCAGGAAAACGTGGAAAGCATGACTTGGGAAACATAATGGGGAATTAATAGTAGATTTCTATTATTTGTCTGGCATTTTGAAGTGCTTTCATGGTCCCAAAATAGAATTTCACCTGTTATAAAATTGTAAAAATGTAGCTGGTACCTTTTTATGGCTGTGCTGTTGATTCCTGTAATACACCAATGATATTTTACTTTTCAGCAGTCTTTGCGGTTCTTACTGGATAACTGTAACTATATTCCCATTTTAATATTCCAGTATAAACAAAAAATTATCTTTACTGTGCAAATGAGGAATGCCTTTGGGATATGTAAAAGCCTCCAGGTATCTTCGAACAAGCCATTGTAAAAGTACTGTTCATGTTAGTATACTTTCCAGCTACTTTAAATACTATTGATCTCAGTATTATGTAAAAAGCATGCTATTTCTAGTTCATTGCCTTTTTGAAACACTTTTTTTGATGATGAGTTGGAAAAAAGAAAGTGCTAGAAAATACCTTTTACAGGTAAATGCATATGTAAACTCAGAGTTGGGGTTCAGATGAAAGTATCCAAGGTTTTGAAATATTTTTGCAAACTTTGAGAACTCTCCTTTAAGACTTTTCTCTTATAATATGTGAAATCTCGGCAGGTCAACTGACTCTAATTTTTCTGTAGGGCTTCAAGCTGACTTCTTTCCTTTCTTATGGAAAGGAGATGTACAGGATTCATTAATGATCAAACTGTGGCAGTGATACAGGACTTGGTAGCTGTAAATAGGGATTGTGTTACGCTAGATGATGCCTTTGCAGATCACAGAAACACAACGAATATTAGGAGTTGGAAGGGACCTCGAAAGATCATCCAGTCCAACCTCCCTGCCAGAGCAGGATCACCTAGACTAGATCACACAGGAACGTGTCCAGGCTGGTTTTGAATGTCTCCAGAGAAGGAGACTCCACAACCTCTCTGGGCAGGCTATTCCAGTGCTCTGTCACCCTCACAGTAAAAAAGTTTTTCCTCATGTTCAGGTTGAACTTCCTATGCTCCAGCTTGCACCATTGCCCCTTGTCCTGTCATTGGCTGTCACTGAGAAGAGCCTGGCTCCTTCCTCCTGATAAACATTAAATGAGATAGTTATATTTGGTAAGCTTGCCTTGCATAGATGTTTTTCCACCCCTAAATTCCAAGTCTGCTGTGCCTTGCAAGTCTTAACAAAGAGCAAAAATGGATTTATCATTTCAGGTCTCTCTGAGAAACAGTGGTAACGTGAATGTTAGTGGCAGGGGTTAAGAGAGAGTTTTGTTGTTGTTCTTCCTGGGGAGTTACATGTGTCTAAAAGTGCTCAAATGGATGAAGACATGGCTGAAGAGCAGGTGATCAGAAATAACCAAAGAATTTTTTGCAAGTTAGTCCCAGGAACTTACATTGTGGGTTTCCTGCATCCTGTGAATAGCAAATTGTGAACGAAACATTAAACGAGTTGACATAGATTCCTCACTGACTGACTATATACAGATGTACTAGAAATTATAAGTACTTTTTACGTAAAAGGATAAGTGCATGTGCTTTATGAATGAGCAATATGATTGCTCATGTTAATTGAAAAGTAATTTAAAGTTCATCTTGCTGCTTTTGAAGTAATGATAAATAGCTTGCAGAAGCTTTTTGAAACCACTTACCATTTTACTCTTCTGCAGATTAGTAGGAAGCAGAATGACAGGAAAACATGGAATTAAAGAAGATCTAACACACTTTTAAAGGCCATTACTGTTTTGTCACTCTGAGTTTAAAATGAAGTGGACTCCCTAGTTATTATCACTGAATAAAGTGGACAGCATAATATGAACATAAGAGTACAACCTTTCTGTCTAAGGTCAAATAATTGTGATTTTCTACAGTTGATGAAAGTTTAATATCCTGTTTCATTAAAAATTCTCAGATCATTGAACATAAGTCAACATTCCATGGAGAAGAAGGTATTATGCAGCTTGCATGTGTGCATATCTGCATATCGGAGCACAAAATATTGACATGATAATTGCAGTCAAGCCTGATTGAACAGTGGCCTCTGGGAATTCAGCTGGTGGTGTACCAACTGAATGGCTGCTCAGGACACAGTTTGAAATGCAAGGTGCAAGTTAGCACTTTATTCAGCACAGGCAGGCATCATTTAAAAATCCTTGGGGGAAACCTTTGTGATGTGCAGATGTTAAAGCAGTCTGTTCTGAAGTGCTGGTATTTTGAACACTGTAAGAGACTGTATTTTAGATGAAAAATGTTTACAGAATTATTTGGGAAAAATGTCACTGTTTTCTTTACTACTCTAGTGTAAAAATATGTTTAGTATTTTATGTACATTGCTTAAAATAAGAACCCTTAATAAATCATCTAATGAATTAAATCAATCAAGTTAGAGATGCAAGAAAATTTACCTTTCTGTAGTGATGCTTTTCCATTTTGATACATAACATGAAACATAGAACTGGCTCTATAAATAATTTACTAAGGAAATTATTTAATTTTTTTTTGTTTATTAATTTTAATTTTTTTGTTTAATTGGCTCTTAAATTATTTTTGTAAAGAAATATAAATGGCCGTATGCAATTTTGCTGTAGAAAATAACTGCTCTCTTAGAAAAGTACAAAATGTGTGGTATCAATTTAAATGCCTTTTTTGCTCCATGCTTTCTAAATCTTTTAAAACTACTATTTGTAAGTATTAAAATAAAAAAAATAAAAAGCATTTGTTATAATTCATCATGAAGTATAAGGAACTTCTAGAATCTGAGGTAGACATAAACTCCTTATTAAATTAAAACTATTTAACTCTGTTTTTTCTCTCTCCTTATTAGGAACACAGAAACACAGTAAGGTTTCTAGCTGGAAGATTAAGGCACTGTCTCTGTTTTTGCCAACCACTGACTGCAACCACAGGGATGTGGCTGTACGCAGTAAATTACAGTGTTAGTGGCATATTTACAGTAGCATTGATGGTCTGTGCTCTACAACTTCACTTTGCACTTGGGCAATTCATTATCTATTTAATAACAGCATTCAATGTCTGCATTTGTGTAAGTCTGTAAAACAGTTGGAGGACTGGGAAGAATGATAATCAAATTAATTACTCTATCATGTGAGCTGCTATTTTGTAGCCTTTCTAGTTCTGTTTAGATTCAAAGAATATATTTCAAAAGTAACTATTTTTAGAAGCAGCTTATTTTCAGTTATATAGGTATACTCTTAAATTTAACATTTGTTCTTCACTGTACAGACCAAAGTTTGCAGTGTAACCTTAACTTTCTAAGTTATTTAAGGCCAAATTTGTAGATGAGTTTGTTTGGTGTTTTTTTTAATCCTTTTGCTTGTAAAATTAAAAGGACTTACTCCTTGAAACATGTAAACAGCAGGTTCAGTTTATTAGCTAAAATTATTTTAATTTAATTAATGAAAAAATGACAGAGTTATATACAACTCTGAATTACTTTTTCTTGACAAATGGTGAATTGCTTAATTGATTAAGACCTCTGGTCGGATATAAGATACCTCTTTTCTCAGGCTGCTTTTGCTGAAGATTTTAGGAAGCATGATGTTTTTTAAACTTCAACAAATGTCTGCTTTTCAAAAACTTAATGTTTTTGTAGTGCATATTATATTTTCATGCTTCATTCATAGCTGAATGTTTCATCATATTCTAATGTTTCATTTTGAACAAGCCATTAAAAATTTGCCAAACCTCAAAAATACTGTCCTGTCCAGTTGTGTAAAGTATAGCATAATACATAAATAAAAATTGTAACACAGGAAAAGAATTAAGCTTAAGAATATTTTCTCAGTTTCTTCATTTTTGTGGGAAGCTGAATCTTGATAATCTTTGTAGCTAAATACATCTGTGTTAAACATTTAAAATAGGTAGTACTCATGGGAAAAGTGATTGGAGCTTAAAACTTGTACAAATTGACAGCTTCTCTTCACTCCATTTTTCATCCTAAAGAAGTCTGCAAATATTCTTAGCTCACATCATTATTGCTCATCAGTGGTTCTAATTAGCTAAACAGGAGTTTGTCTCAGTCATTGATCATCATCAGCTTCTTGACAGTGCCTGAATTTTTTTCCCCCCATATTCCAGTGGGCTTTTTTTTTTTTAATATATTGTAAATACTTAACAGCTCAATTAATGAAGTTGGTTGAAGGTCCCATATATATTTTTCTCCTACCTTAATGTAATTTAAATGCATGTCTTTTCAGCTAAGTTTTTCTTAGTTTTCTTCCAGTACTCCAACACATCAGTGCTGCTGTGTTTGCTGTAGGAGAGTGCTACTTACAGTTATCATGCCTTGAGACCTTGGTGTCCAAAAACCTTACTTTAAATTCCATACCATTTTTATTTAATTCTTTATTTACTCAAAATCAGACTAGATATTTTAGCAGTCATAGAACTTTATTTAATAAAAAATATGGTATTGGGTAGCCTGTGGGAACAGTGTAGTTTAGCTTTTAAAATCACTGATAACAGTAGAATATGCAATAGCGGGGAAAAAAAATTGTCCATAATGTCTACTGTCCTTATTAGTCTCTGTTACAAAATGCTTCAGCAGAGGAAATGTTCTGTGCACAGCTGGGTATTCTCATCCAGTTTTGGTCAGATTTACAGACTCATGGGTACCCCTCTTCCATTCCCTTCCACTTCTGAATTATTCCCATTTTGGCAGAACAGAAGTTGTGCACGTAGAATTCTCTGGCTTTTAGGGGTGACTTATATCCAGCTATGATGAAAGTTTAATGGTAGTATCCCTGAAAACAGGGATAGTCTGAATGAGTTTCTGCTTCTCTGTCACTTGTGGTGCTGGGGATGCCTGAAGTATTTGGCCATTTTTAGGGAATATATGTTTCTCAGAATTCTTGTTGCAGATATGTGATAGGAACTCAGTCTTGTGCTAAGGAATCTATGTGTAGCCTTACTAATGCAATGTTTGTTTTCTTTCCAATGAAAACAGAAACCAGTAATGCCATCAACATTTAAAACTCTGTCAAGAAATAGGATCACAATGAGATGAGGTGGTTTGTTAAACGAAGTGTTAATAACTCACCAGCTAGTTTTCTATGAACTGTTGCAGAGATTATTATAGCTCTGCACTTATTAACCACATAGAGAGGCTTTGCTCATCCCCATTACCCAAGTTTCTCAGCTGTCTTTTTCCCTGCCCAGTAGAAGTTATAGGTTCTATTTATGTGAAAGATATCAAAATAGCTATCCATGATGCTCAAAACGGGTTTTTTTCAGACATAGAAATGCCATGTAGCTGACAGAAGAACTTTACCTCTTGCTTTTGTTTCTTCATGAAGAAAGTTGTGTTAGCTGTTTACAGATGTAATTTGCTGTCACTTGCTGTATGCTTCCTGATTAATTCTGCAAGGCCTGTCAGCTTCAGATAATTTAATTTTCTGTGTTTTAAAATGACATTCATTATCAGGACATGAAAAATTCAAATTATTAGCTGCATATTATGACTAATAAAGTGTCTACTTTTTTTGTTTGTTTCCAGAGAAAAGCAGAAAGCTGAAGTCAAGGACAGAAAGGTTTTAGAGATTTTGCAAGCCAAAGACAGCAAAATAGAAACCCTTGAACAGGTTTGTATTATGTTTAAGTAGATCAGTTTAAAAAACTTTTAACATTGACATCAAATTTAGATTCCCTAAGATGTGGAAATAGTTTGCTCTTGTGTCTTAACGTGAAGATTGCAGGTGACTCAGATTATAATCTTAATTAAACACTTCTGAGTTGTTCAAACAGTTGACCTTTCACCTAAAAACTTCCTATGGTTTTAGATTAAACCTCTTTTGTAAAGTTTTATCAGCTCATTGCCTAATTTTGCCTAATGGACTAACTTGAACTTGGATTTTAATCTAAAAGAGTTCTGACTATATTTAGGTTTGTAACGTGCCGATGGTTTGGAAAGATTTGCCATCCTGACAAATACAAAAATAAAACATCTCTAGAGTAATAAGTACTAAAGTGTAGTATCCTAAAAGTAATACAGCTATGTATTTTAGTGTTACTAACCTGTGGCAGTTTTTATTAAGCTGTTAGCATAAACTCTAAAACAATAATGACAAATGCAAAATGCCACGCAGAAGTCTTACATCATGTGTATTCTGTACTGAACTGTTCACTCAAAACTGAGTGTAGTGTATCAGAAAAAAAAAATAAATGAAAACCATATATTGAGCCAAGCTCTTGGTGAAATTGAGGAAGTAAGAGTACAATTTCTGAAATTCAAAATAATTATTTGAAATGTAATCAAAGCTTTTGAACCCTTCATAGTATTTGAAATGTGATACTTATGAAATCCAACACTAAAAAATACTAAATAAACATAGGAGAACAATAAACATTGTACTTTCTTTTTCTCCATAAATCTCAAATGACTACCTACTCAAGACTACAAGGAGAACAGAATGTGCTTTTCCGTATTATTCAGAACATTAATAAGAAAAAAGTTATAATCAGACATAACAAGTGTGATGTGGAAAAAAAGAATTAGAATTACTTCACAGATAATAAAGCTTATAGCAAAAGATCTAGGGCATGCTTTCAGATGTCTAAATCTTCCAGTTCCTGGGGATAAAAGGCTGACTGATACATAGTTTTTCATGGAATCAGAGAATAGTTGAAGTTGGAAGCCATGCTTAAGCAGAGTCACCTAGAGACAGTTTCCCGGTACCGTGCCAAGACAGCTTTTGAGTACCTCAAAGAATGGACACTCCACAACCTCCCTGGGAAACCTGTGTCAATGCTTCTTCACCCTCTCAGTGGAAGAGTGTTTCCTGATGTTCAGAACGAACCTCCTGTGTTTCAGTTTGTGCCCTTTGCCTCTTGTCCTGTTTCTGGGCACTGCTGAAAAGAGCCTGGCTCCATCTACTTTGCATCCTTTCTTCAGGTATTTATATACATTGATGAGATTCCCTCCAAGCCTTTACTTCTCTAGACTGAACAGAGTCAGCCAGAGGTCTCAACTTTTCCTTATAGGAATGTTGCTCCAGCATCCAAATTATCTTCATGGCCCTTTGCTAGATTCTTTCCAGCAGCTTTGTATCTCTTGTACTATGGAGCCCAGAACTGGACACAAGACTCCAGGTATGGCCTCTCTAGTGAGTAGAGAGCAAGAATCACCTCCCTCAATCTGCTGGCAGTACTTTGCCTAATGTGGCCCAGGATACCATTTGCCATCTTTGTCACAGTGGTACGTTGCTGGCTGATGGTCAAGCTGATGTTCACCAGGACGCCCAGATCCTTTTCAGCAAAGCTTTCCAGCTGGGCAGCCTCCAGCATGTATTGTGTTGTTCCTCCCCAGGTACAGGACTTTTTTCTTGAATTTCATGAGGTTCCTTTCAGCCCATTTCTCCAGCCTGTCCAGCTGCTGAACTGCAGCATGGCCCTCTGGCATATCAGCCACTCCTCCTAGTTTTGTGTCGTCAGCAAACTTGCTGAGGGTGTGCTCTGCGCCATCATGGATTGGTTAGAAACAGCAGCAAATAATCACTTAGGTATTAAGAATTCTCCCTTCAGAAGGGTGGTGGGATCAGTAGCCCAACTGAAGTGCATCTATATGAACGCATGCAGCATGGGCAATAAACAGGAGGAAGTAGAAACCATCATGCAGCAGGAAATATAGTTATATAGTTCTATATAGGATATATATCCTATATAGTTATATATGGGACATAGTTACTATCACACGAACATGGTGGGACAACTAACAACTGGAGCGCTGCATGTATGGGTATAATCTCTTCAGGTGAGATAGGCAAGGAAGAAGAGGCAGTGTGGTTGCCCTGTATGTTAGGGGAATGTTTTGATTGCCTTGAGCTCAGTGATGGTGATGATAGCATTCAGTGTTTATGGGTAAAAATCAGGGGAAAGGCCAAGACAGATATCATGATGGGACTCTCTTAGAGATTGCCCAACCAGGATGAAGAGACAGATGAAATAGTCTACAAGCAAGTGGGAGAAGTCTTACAATTGGTAGCCCTTGTTTTCATGGGGGACTTCAACTTAACAGATGTCTGCTGGAAATATGATAAAGCGGAGGGGAAGCAGTCTAGGAGGTTCCTCGAGTGCGTGGAAGACAATCTTCTGACACAGCTGGTTAGTGCACTGACTAGAAAACATGCCTTGCTGGACCTGGTATATGTGAACACAGAAGGCCTTGTGGGTGATTTGATAGTTATAGGATGCCTGGGGCGTAGTGATCATAAAATTACAGAATTCTCAATTCTTGGAGAACTAAGGAGAGGGTTCAGCAAAACTGCCACCTTGGACTTCCAGAGGGCAAACTTTGGACTGTTTAGAAGGCTAGTTGACAGACTCCCTTGGGAGGCTGTCCTGAATGGCAAAGCAGCTCAAGAAGGCTGAATATTCCTCAAGAAGAAAAACATAAAGGCACAGGACCAGGCTGTCACTGTGTGCTGAAAGATGAGGCAGCCAGCAAGAAGACTGGCCTGGCTGAACAGGGAGTTTAGGCTGGATCTCAGAAAGAAGAGGAAAGTCTGTGAGCTTTGGAAGAAGGGGCAGGCAACTTACGAGGACTAGAAGGATGAAGTGAGGTCATGCAGGGTAAAAATTTAAAGGGCTGAAGTCCAACTAGAACTTTAATTGGTTAATTCTGTGAAATAGAATTAAAAATGTTTCTCTAAATATCTTAACAACAAAAGGAGGGCCAAGGAGAATCTCCCTCCTTTATTGGATGCAGGGGGAATCACAGTGACAAAGGATAAAGATAAAGATGAGGTACTTGGTGCGTTCTTTGCTTCAGTCTTTAATAGTACAGACAGCTGTTCTCTGTGTCCCTGCTGGAAGACAGGGACAGGAACAGAACAAAGCTGCTGTGATCCAAGAGGAAATGGTTAGTGACCTGTTCTGCCAATTAAACACTCACAGTCTATGGGGCTGAATGAGATCTACCCAAGGGTGCTGAGGGAGCTGGTGGAGGTGCTCACCAAGACACTTTCCATCATCCGTCAGTAATCCTGGCTGACTGGGGAAGTTGCACTTGACTGGAGGTTGGCAAATGTGATGCATATTTACAAGAAAGGCCAGAGAGAGGATCTGGGGAACTACAGACCTGTCAGTCTGACCTGGGTGCTGGGGAGGGTCATGGAGCAGATCATCTTGAGTGCCATCATGTGTCACATTCAAGACAAACACAAGATCAGGGACAGTCAGCATGGGTTTATGAAAGATAGATCCTGCTTGACTAACCTGATCTCCTCCTGTTGACAAGGTGACCTGCTTAGTGGATGAGGGAAAGGCTGTGGGTGTAGTGTACCTGCAGTGAGGTAAAGCCATTGACACCATTTCCCACAGCATTCTGCTGGAGAAACCAGCTGCTGATGGCCTGGACATGCATACTCTGCTGGCTAAAAAACTATGGATAGCTGGGTCCAAAGAGTGGTGGTGAGTGGAGTTAAATCCAGTTGGAGGCCAGTCACAAATGGTATTCACTGGGGCTTAGTTCTGGGACCAGTTCTGTTTAATCTTTGTCAGTGAGCTGGACAAGGGGATTGAGTGCTCCCTCAGTAAGTTTGCAGATGTCTCTAAGCTGGGCTGGAGTGTTGTTCTGCTTGAGGGTAGGAAGGCTCTGCAAAGGGACCTGGACAGGCTGGATCAATGGGCTGAGGCCAACTGTATGAGCTTCAACAAGGCTAAGTTCCTGGTGCTGCACTTGCATCACAACAACCCCATGCAGCACCACAGGCTTGGGAAGGAGTGACTGGAGAGCTGCCTGGCAGAGAGTTATCTGGGGTACCAGAGAATATGAGCCACCGGTGTGCCCAGGTGGCAAAGAGGGCCAATGACATCCTGGCTTGTAGCAGAAATAGTGTGGCCAGCTGGAGTAGCGAAGCGATCATTCCCCTGTACTTGGCACTGGTGAGGCTGCGCTTTTTATACTGTGTTCAGTTTTGGGCCCCTCACTACAAGAAGGACATTGAGGCACTGGAGCCTGTCCAGAGAAGGGCAATGAAGCTGGTGAACGGTCTGGAGCACAGTTTTTATGGGGAATGGCTGAGGGAGCTGAGGTTTAGCCTGGAGAAGCAGAGTTTGAGAGGAGACCTTATTGCCCTCTAAAACTGCCTGAAAGGAGGCCGTGGTGAGGTTAGGGTCAGTTTATTCTCCCAAGTAACAAGTGATGGGACAAGAGGAAATGGCCTTAAGTTGTGCCAGGTTAGGGTTAGGTTGGATATTAGGAGAAATTTCTTCACTGAAAGGGCTGTCAAGCACTGGACTGGCTGCCCAGGGAAATGATCGAGTCACCATCCCTGGAGGTATTTAAAAGATGGGTAGAGAGATGTGTTTTAGTAGTGGACAGGTTATGATTTGACTTGGTGGTCTTGAAAGACTCTTCCAACCAAATCATTCTATGATCATGCAGATCATCAGTAAATTTTGTGATGTTTCTGATGGCCTTTACTAGGTTCTGGCTTGAACTGAGGTAGCCAGTGGTGTAAACTCAGATTTCCAGAGCTTACTTACCTCTGGTTTGTTCAAAATAAACCTAATACACCTGCTGACTGATGAGAAACACCACTGAAATTAGGTTATTCATCCTTTAATTTTGTATTGCAATGGT